ATTTTCTTTGTCTGTATAGGTGCTAATTTTTTACTTTGTTTTTAGAACTTGTTCTTTTTGCACCTAAAAGAAATCTTTTTTCTAAGAATCTCGCGAAAGAAATTTTCTGTGCATTGTTTGCGATTTTTGAGAAAGTGAGTCAGCTTAAGTTTCGGGGAGTTCAGTCACACGTTGGAATTAAGTGCAGGGAGTCTACTTTTCAGAAAGAGTAAATACATATTTCATTTTGTATGGTTAGAGTGAAATCTGGTTTTTTTTTTCTTGTGTGAATAACTGTGCAAATGGTTCTGATTTTGACATACGGTTTGCATTGGTTTTATGAATTGAAATTTAGGTTTTAGCTTTAATGGAATCCATCGCTTTCTCAAATTTTGCTGCCACATTTTATGGTACTTGATTAAGAACATAGCATTTATGATGAAGGTATCTCATTCTTTCAATGGGAAGCATTTCTGTTTTTGACTACCTTGGAGAAAGGGTAGTCTATTTGTTTTGCGTGTTGATTATAGCCATGAGCCCTTTAATCATATAGGACATAGCTCATGCTCATAGCTCTAATGCATTATTTGTTCATGTTCTTATCACTGGTAAATGTGAATGTTTTGTAGGGTTTTGGAGTGGGCTGATGGGTACTACAATGGAGATATTAAGACACGGAAAACAGTTCAATCCTTAGAGCTTAATGCAGATGAATTGGGTTTACAGAGAAGCGAGCAATTGAGAGAACTCTATGAGTCCCTGTCTGCTGGTGAAGCCAATCCACAAGCGAGGAGACCTTCTGCTGCATTATCCCCAGAAGATCTCACTGATACGGAGTGGTATTATTTGGTTTGCATGTCCTTTGTATTCGACAGTGGCCAGGGGTAACTTCATTTTCTTTGCCATTTGCTGAACAAGGCCTTTCAATTTATTCCTTTTTAGAGTTAAATCGTTGTTAATTCATCTTCCGAATTGTTCATAGCTTGCCAGGAACAACATTTGCAAATGGTCACCCTACCTGGCTATGCAACGCTTCTTCTGCAGATAACAAAATATTCAGTCGCTCTCTGCTAGCTAAGGTTAGGATTCTGTTTCCTTTCAGAGATCTTATTTCATTTCTGAATAAAAGTTGCACACATTACACATACTCAAAATGATAGAAGAAATTAATTTCTTTTTTTAATATTTTTGGTTCTTGTTCTATGATGGGAATTGTGGCAACCATAACCCTCAGAGTGCATCAATTCAGGTACCGATTCTACCTATTTCCTACTAGAATTCCAGTAGATAGGCACAAGCACACAGCAGCGTGCTTTTACCAATTGCATTAAAGCTTGTAAAGCTAGTAAAACTGGACTATACCAAAACCTGAGCAAACATTTCCTTTTTAAACTTTCAGACTGTTGTATGCTTTCCATTTATGAGAGGAGTTGTTGAGCTGGGCGTGTCTGAGCAGGTAATACTACTGTCAGATTTCTATTTAGAATACAATCAACTACTGATTTGGTGTCCGTGCATTACAATTACCAACATGTCAAGTCACGTTTCTACATTGTAATTTGTTTCTAAAGGTTTTGGAGGACCCAAGTCTCATTCAACACATCAAGACTTCATTCTTGGAGATCCCATACACAGTAGCAGCCAAGCATTCTAGTGCAAAAAGTGACAAAGAGCTTGCCTGTGCCACTTTCAATCGTGAAATACATGACACCAAACCTGTTCCAGTTATACGATGTGGAGAACTAGACACAGTCTCCCCTGATGACAATTCAAATGATCAGGCAGCCACAGATTCGATTATGGTTGAAGGGCTAAATGGAGGAGCTTCCCAAGTGCAAAGTTGGCAGTTCATGGATGATGACTTCAGCAACCTTGTTCATCATCCCTTGAATTCTAGTGACTCTGTATCGCAAACCATTGTAGATCCTGTGAAGCTTGTTCCTGTTCTGAAGGATGGAAAGGTAAATGACCAGAGTCTTCAGGATATTCAAGACTGCAATCACAAGAAGCTGACTGCATTGAACCTACAAAGCGATGATTTGCATTATCAAAGTGTTCTCTCGTGTCTCTTAAAGACCTCCCACCCATTAATTCTTGGACCCAATGTCCAGAATTGTCATCGGGAACTGAGCTTTGTCAGTTGGAAGAAAGCAGGATTGATGCATTCTCAAAAATTGAAAAGTGGAACTCCACAAAAACTACTAAAGAAGATACTCTTTGAAGTTCCTCGGATGCATGTTGATGGTTTGCTGGACTCCCCGGAATGTAGTAGTGACAAAGTTGCGGGTGGCAGGCCCGAGGCTGATGAAATTGGCGCAAGCCATGTATTATCAGAGAGGAGGCGAAGAGAAAAACTGAATAAAAGGTTTATGATTTTGAAATCAATTGTCCCTTCAATCAGCAAGGTAGTTAAAAATTCTGTTCCCAAAAGTTTTTGGCCTCGAATAACCAAAGTCTCAGATTAATTTTCTCCTTTTTTGTGCAGGTTGATAAAGTATCTATACTAGATGACACAATACAATACCTTCAAGAGCTTGAAAGAAAGGTTGAAGAGTTGGAATGTAGGAGGGAGCTTTTAGAGGCAATAACCAAAAGAAAACCTCAAGATACTGTGGAGAGGACATCTGATAACTGCGGCAGCAATAAGATTGGAAATGGTAAAAATTCGTTGACAAATAAGAGGAAGGCTCCTGACATTGATGAAATGGAGCCAGATACCAACCATAACATATCAAAAGATGGTTCAGCTGACCATATAGCTGTCAGCATGAATAAAGGGGATGTTCTAATCGAGATCAAGTGTCCTTGGAAGGAGGGAATATTGCTCGAGATAATGGATGCAGCGAGCCATCTCCATTTAGATTCTCACTCAGTTCAGTCATCCATTATGGACGGGATTCTTTCGCTGACTATCAAATCACAGGTATGGAGTATGGACTCAAAATCACACAATGGAAGTCACCGTCTTGATATCATGTGCCTTGTAAGAAAATGGCCACCTAATGACAACCCGTGATATTTTCAACGAAAAATATGATCCAATGAGGTAACTTGATGGTTATTATTAGCATTGATTCCTTACTTTAATGTCAATGTTTTTATTGCAGCACAAGGGATTGAATGCTGCATCAGTTGGCACAATCAAACATGCCCTTCAAATAGTTGCTGGGAACTTGTTTTCGAATCGATGACTGTATGACTGCTTCAGTCGAAAGATTCTGTGTTGCGGAGGGCTTCATTGATCAGAGCTATTGAACATAGATTTTCCTCCACGTGGAGGAGTCCAATAAACAGAAAATGCACTTATTCCGAACATTTATGTTTGTTGCAATGGATGGTTCAGCTTGTACTCTGCACGTAGAGTGGTCTAATAAACATTTATGTTTTGTACGTGTTTGGAATAATGGATTACTTGTAAGATAAGTGGCTTCAATGATGTCACATCAAAGGATTGAAGGGTGTACATCCGAGAGAAATAAAGATCTGAAATAAAGTTTTGATCCACTGAATTTCGGCAGTTGCATTGTTATGGCCTTGTATTCCGTTTTGTGGATCATGAAAAGAAGGCACCATCTGATTTGTTCAAAATCTGGGACGCGGACAAGTCCAGCTTGCTTCGAAGAAGAACAAGTATATAGTGGCGTTGAGACAAGTAAAGGCCCTTACCACTTCAAGTACCCTATACGCCGAGAAAGAAGCTGAGTTCACTAAGGTTTTTGACTAGAAAATCGGTCCACACAGCTCATGGAAGCCTGGCTTGGGAAGCTAAATAGATGGATGACAGGAAAAGAGAGGTCGTATCAATCATCAAGTAAAAAAGCAACAAATTCCATTCGAGTTGGATTTGTTCTCGTGCTCATCGTGTAAAGCATGCGTTGAGAACAGTAAGCAACCCTATGTGTCCCGCTAATATTATGATAACGAATTGGTTTCAAAGTATTGAAATTATATTTTTTTTAGTTTTTAAAATTTATTTTTTAATATTAATACATTAAAACAATTTAAAAAATTTAAATTTTAAACAAATAATATTTAGACTGCAATGCCAGACATCCCTTCAAGTTTATAAAGAAAAGCATGCAAAAATGTACTAACTAAAAGTAACATAATCGACTTCCAAAAAAATACAACTATGGAACATTTCAATAGAGTTTTTGATATTTCAGTTATTTAAAAAAAATTATATATATATTTGATTTTTTATATTTTTAAATTGTCTTAATATTAAAAATAAATTTTAAAAAATAAAAAATTATTTAAATATATTTTTAAAATAAAAATTACATCAACCGAAAAGAAAGTGTCCTGGCATTATAAAGCAAGGCGCCAACCATAGTTTCATACAGTCGATCTACTGCAAAGCTTTTCCTTGTTGATTTTTAGACACAGGTTGAACAGCTGGCCCACCAAATCTAGTCAGGGTAATGGAGGCGACCTCCTTGTTTTTTGGTACCAAAGAGCATCATCCTTGATTTCCAAATAACAGTGGTGTGCTCTGTAAACTCATCAAGGTGGCTTAAAAAGAAGATAAAATAAAGTTGAAAGAGAGAGTCCATGAAATAATAAATAATTTAATGTTTTAATAATAAATAATTTAATGTTTTTAACCATTACCATGAAATAATAAATAATTTAATGTTTTTAACCAGTGTTTTTTTTTTTTTGGAAAAAAGAAGCTCAATGGGGCTTAATTACAGGATCAGACATGCAAAAATACAATAATACTAGCTTACAGTCCATGCTTTTCATATATGATTTTGCTTTAAATTGAGCATGAATTGTGGAAATGTATAAAAAATATAGTAATTGATTTTACTGACGCCCCTGAAACGCTTAGAATCTCCTTTATATAACACCATTTGACTCACAGAAATTTTCAAGTTATAAACACAAGGGAATGTAGCGATGAAGAGCGTGGTTTAAACACCTCATTGACATGAGCATTAAACTTGGAAACCAAAAATGTTTTGGAATGTTACTGAAGAAAAAGAGTGGCCTAGCTTTCTTTCCCAACAGCGGGATAGTTTCTAAGAAAGGTATTATTTATGAAGGCGTGTAAATAATGGAATTGGCCATCATTACTCATTTTATTTTCAAAGATTTCCTTTGGTCTGTCCAGATCTTACCACTTGTCTTAGTGGCAATCAGCAATCATCTTTAAGAATCTTTTACGTAACTCTACGAAGTTTTTCCTGATAAGACAATCGATATGTGCTATGGACCAGTCACAGAAATAATATATATATATATATATGTTACTAAATGCTGGAAACCACCTGCTGAGAGTAAAGTGGGCGTGAACTGTGCGTAGGGTAGAGTATCATCATTCCCAGATCTCTATTGGATCCAAAGAGCAATCAAGCGGAGCAGGAAAACGAGAAAAGAGAAGAAAACGACAGAAAATCCACCCGGCTGATATGGCTAATAGTTAAACAATGCAGGAAGAGTTGACTATCAACACCATTGCATACTCACAGCTCAATCCATTACATCACAGATTATTTTATTTTGATCTTTCCTTGCCTTTGTTTTTTCCACACTACGAACCACGCGATTCCTGCTCAATCCATTGCATCTTGAGCCCACCCAGGTTCCCTATCCAGCTTTAGTTTTGCTCCCACAGAATCCAGAATTTCACAGACCATTTATTATTCCAACAGCAACCCTGTTGTAAAAATTCAATCCTTTCGATCCCTGGTTTAACTTTCCAGCAGAAGAGACTGGAGAGAAGACAGTACCTTTTTAATTACTGTTAACTAGAAGACTAATTAAGACATGAGCTGCTGTACATGTCGGCAACATAAAAAATCCAGATAATCCAAGCAAATGAATGACTTGCTACGTTTGAAGTGTGAGCCCTGCAAAATCTTTTACGGTGTACCCGATTTTCTCAAATTTACCTTCCTCGTTACTCTCTCTAAATCTCAAATAATCCAAGCAAACGAATGACTTGTAAATCCTCTGGTCTCCTTCCTCCAAAACTTCATCTGGGGCCAAGATCACCTTCTCATCCTCGAAGCACCAAAAGAAAGCGAGAGATAGGCGATTTACTAAACGCTTTAAAACAACCCGGTGTTCGGATGATCTTAACCTTCCATTACTCCAAGCCTGCATCAGATCTCCAATGTTAACAACAAGAAGATCCTCACATGGAGGTATGTCCAGCCATTCTCCTTCCTTGGATCTCATTTGCAGCCCACCAGTCTCATCCTGATAGACGATGGTTATACAACTCATATCAGTGTGCATTCCAAGCCCCTCAACCTCCCTTTCTTCCACATCCTTCGGTGGTGAATAGTTTACAACCCTGAAATAGCCATGACAGTTGCTGAATTCTGATTCGCAAAATTTCCTGTCACAACCATCTCCCAAAGTCATCACTAAAACCTCGATGATTCTCTTTGACAAGTCGATCATCTTGTTTCCATATTCCTGTAATATCTCACTACGCAATTGAAAAATGACAAGGGCAGTTACATATAAAAGATGCATATTCGACGCTGAAAACATCAGAAAACTATTGCAAACAAATAGCACTGAAAACTATATATGGTTTAAAAATATGAAGCCTGGAGATATAAAAAGATTGTACCTAAATTCGGAATTTTGTTGACTAAAGAGTTCATCAGCAGAACGCTTGGCAGAAGCATAGAAGTCTGGTCCAGACACTATCAGGCTTTCAAAATAAGGTGAGGCTATGAAATGAGGAGTGTAGGTTTTTAAGCATGATGATGGACCGACTTTGAGCTTGGAATCTTTGGGGAGGCTAAAGATATGTTTCGAAAGTGTGCAAACTTTGCTGAACAAGTTTCTTGAGATACCATGATTGGTAACATAAAAGAAGCCCCATTCTTGACAGGCTTGAGAAAGGGAAGATAAAAACGAGAGGTTCACAGGTTGGGATAAATCAAACACAGGAAGCTCCACAGAAACATGCAGTTCAGCCATTATGTACTCTAAAAGGCTACGATTCTTTAGTTGCTTGAAGCACTAGGCTAGAGGGTAGGCTACATATAGGTAGGGAGCGGAGCTAAAAGGGAATCTTCACATTATTTATTGCTTCAAGTTTTCAATTTCACAGTTGGATTAATTCTACTTCTTCCAGAAATAATACTGGTAAATTGAGGCCTTTAATAACTGCTGCCACTAAGCATACCATGGATTTCAGGATGAATGGAGATCCAAGCACCACATTTATAACAAAAGTACAAAGTAGCCAAGTGTTTCACCGTCTCACGATGAAACTATGATTTTACCCATGGCGAAATCAGGTGGCTTTGTTCTACTAGCAGAGATATTTTTTTTATGGAATTCATTAGTCTTTATAATATAAAATAGGATTAGATTGTTTTTTTTATATTTAATTATACGGTAAAATTATTTTATTATTCTTAACAGCAAAAACTTTTAAAATTTGGTCAATTGAACTTCTATTCTTGAACTTAATTTTCAAACAATTAAATTATATCATTTTAATTTTCAAACAATTAAATTATATCATTGCCCTTTGAATGTAAAAATTGTCTTTGATGAAGGAGGAGTTTCTTTTGTCTTTTATATTTAGTTATTTAATAATTATTAAGTGTCATTGGACACAGCAGGAGGATTTTGTTAATAATACAAAAAACAAGTTTGAAAGCACATGAAATGGTATCCATCAAGTTTGGATATTACTTTCAGGGCAACAATTGAAGTAACCCAACATTCCCTCTACATACAAGTAACAAGTAACGTCCAGTAGCGTGTGTGATCTTTTTTATTTTTATATTTGATTTTCATATTGGCCTTCAAAATATCCAAATCAGCCTATAATATTTATTGTCCTGAAGATTTTTTTTTATTCTTTTTATTACAATCTAGTTTATTTAGAATAATTTATGAAGTTACAGATTATTTTTTTTAATATTCTCTTTATTATAATCTAATTTATTTAGAATAATTTACGAAGTTAAGGATTTTTTTTGGTTTCATCCACCAACGTTTTGTTATTTTTATTCATTCACTTTCCATGGGAATTTCTTTTGGTTTTGAAAGTAATAGAAGTAAACTCAATTCTTTTTCCGACAATCTACTATTTTTAAAATGAATTATATATTTAAATTAAATTAATTATGTTAGTAAACATGAAGTGCTTGATTCATTGTTTTTGTTTTTATTTACTTTATGAGGCACATATGACTTTTTTTTTGTTACGAAATTTTAAAATTTTCTTACTCATTTTAAAACATTAATATTAATATTTTCAGCACTGGGATTTATCTAGCAACTACTAATAGTGGGTTAGGTATAAAGAGAGAAGGCAGTGGGTGTGGCCCATCAAAATCAAAAGTTTTGGAGATAATTTATAATAAAATCAAACCATTATCAGCATAATTGTGGAGACCACAGGCCATTATCACCGATCAATATCTCTACTGCTAATGCTCCTACCATTAGAGCTAACTGACAAGAACGCATGCCAAATACATAAAGACCACAACAACGTATCTGAAGATACTAGATTCAAGACAAGAATATCAACTGTGGAAAGGCAGAGTTTCAGCAGATTCAATAAACCACTCCATGTCAAGGAAATGGACATGGCATGCAGTCTACTAGAGCAAGCACTTCTAACCAATAAAATCCTGATATCCAACACACCCATAGATAACAAGACATCAGAAAGGTCTTTAGGGTTTAGAATTATGAGCAATAGGCAGAGATTACTGTTTGATTATTGAAGTTCCATGGCAGGTTTGACTGCTATTCACCAGGCAATGATCTAGGGCACTATAGCAGAGAAGGAAAAAAAAAAACACCAGAGGAGGAGAAGAATATCTTCAGACTTCCTACAAATCACAATATAACTAAAATCCCTTTACACTTCTAACCTAATGACATAACAAGGTCCACAAGATGGTAAATAATAAAAGCAGGCTCCAACAGAAGTGCATTACAAGAACACCTTTGGCAAAATAAAAGCATTAAAAATCCTAGACCTGCTGCAAACTTGAAAAGTTACTACCCAAGACATTTTCCCCTTGCTGCCCTATGAGCTGCAGATTGCAAATAAGTTGCCAGTTGCCACACCATAGAATAGACGTGGCATTGCCCATATTGGGCAAGACACGAAAATTAACTTTCTTACGCAAGTAAAGCAACACAAGAATTAAACCAGGTACTGTAAGCCATCACAGAAAATAATTAAATATAATGACCACTCTTATAAAGTTTCAATTGAATGTCTAAAAAGTATCATCCGTCCATTAAATAGAGATTCTAGCGACATCAGTTAGTAAAAGAATCACATCACTTATCAACTCTACTCATTTGCCGCCCAGCTAATCAACGAATTTGGGGCAGAGAGCAAGCAATGACTGGACTTATCAACTCTTCTCATTTGCCTCGTGCATCCAAGATTTGAATCATTCCCACTCAATTGTTGACGGAGGCTTTGATGTGATGTCTTGAACAACTCGATTTACACCTCTTACACTATTACAGATTTTTCTGGCCACGTCATCAAGGAACTTGTGTTCAAAATAGTACCTGTAATTTCGCAATTCAAATATAGGTGTAAGAGTACTTATTAATACACCGATGAAACAGCAATGGATGCATAAATTTTTGGCAAGATAGAATGCCTAAATAACCAATGATCATTTCTCACTAGTAAAGACAAACCATGCTCTTCTAAATTTCCCACGTCTGTTCTGACCACTTCCCATCCTGGAGAAATCTTAAGCTTGGAGTCTTGTACCATTACCATGTAAGAAAAAAAATGTTTGTAATGCAAATAAGAATTGTAAATCCCTTTATCCCACAAATATTAGCAAGCCAAGAAAAAACTCAATAATGAAAAATAAGTTTAGGCATGCATATGTGAAAAGGCACAAATCGTCCAATCTGAGTCTACCCAAAAAATACATCTAAATCTTGAACATTTTATAGGTTGCCCAGGACACACAAAAACCCACGTCATAGAGTCATATGAAGGTCAAAACATAAAACAACAAGAGAAGGCTCACCAATCAGCTGTCATTCCATCTTGACTCGTAACAGCTCTAAGAGCAACAACATGAGAATGAGTTCTTTGATCACCTTGAACTCCAACTGATCTAACAGGAAGAAATACTGCAAAAGCTTGCCAAATCGAATCATATAGCCCAGCATCCTTGATGGACTGAATAAAAATCTCGTCAACCTGAAAAGGCAGCCAAAACAGTAACTTACAAAAAGTATAAAAGAGCAAAAATGATGTATTAGGTTCGGCTCCAGTGATAAACACTATATACCTGGCGGAGGATATCTAAAGCATTGCCTTCAGTTACATCACCCAAGATTCGTACGGCAAGGCCAGGACCAGGGAAAGGGTGTCGCTTCAGAAATGCATCAGGAACATTCAAGATTCTTCCTAGCTGACGAACCTTTTCAAATGAAAAGGGAGAAAGTTATTAAAAAAAAACTATTGTAAAAAAGGCAATGCAAAAAAAAAGAAAGAAAGTAGAAGACAGCAACAAGTTTAATCAATACCTCATCCTTAAATAAAAGTTTAAGTGGTTCAATGAGCTTCAATTTCATGTCCTTCGGAAGCCCTCCAACATTATGATGGCTCTTGATGGTGTGAGAGTGGGTTCTTCCAGATCCAGGAGGTGGGCAAGATTCAATAACATCTGGATACAAGGTCCCTTGGACCAAGTATGCAGGTTTCTTTCCCAATTTCTGCTCCAGCTTATGGGCAAAAGCATCAAAGATGCTAATAAACTCCTTTCCAATAATTTTCCTTTTCATCTCAGGATCCACCACACCTTTCAGCTTACTAAGGAATTCATTTGATGCATCAACACAAGTAACAGGCAGATGCAGATCACTTTCAAAAGTTTCCACAACACGTTCTCTCTCTTTATATCTACATGACATAAACCATGATATATGGAAAAAGATTTCGGTGGGAGATGCCAGTCAAGTAGTTAATGGAAAAATGGAAAAGGAGAGGTGGTTGCCCTCACCTCAATAAGCCATTATCAACAAAAATACAATGAAGCCTATCTCCAATTGCCTTGTGAACAAGAGTTGCAGCAACAGTGGAATCCACACCCCCTGACAATGCACATATGACATGCTCTTCAGGCCCCACTGCGTCATTGATCACCTTGATTTCTTCATCCAAAACATTTTCCATGTTCCACCCTGGAGAGACTCCACAAACATCGAACAGGAAGTATCGAAGTGTATCCATGCCCTCGGGTGAATGAGTCACCTGCAGAATATTCAACAGTTTCAGCATATACACCATGCCAACAAATGATAAAACAAAGTAGTCTCCCACTATCACCCTACGCAAGTTCCAAAATATTAACCACGGCAAGAGGATAGAAAACAATCAATTTTCTGAGTGTTATTAGCTTACGCTTGGCTAATCACGTAGCAGTCAAAGAATAACAATCTCCCTCCTAGTTTTATCTGAAAACCATGCTTGACCAACATACAAAAATTCCTATACTAGAATAACAATAAACTTTACATACATCAAGCTCATTGCATAAAGTCAACCTAACCATTTACCGAATCAAAATTTCTTTGCAAACTGCTTCACATAATAAACCTTATCAATTAATGGCATGTAAATGTTTCAAATTTAACTAAATGTCAGGCAAAACTTTAAACATAAATGGTACTTCAGAACTCACAAAAATCCATTCAATTACAACACCAAAACAACCTCAAAAATTAAAATAAACCCAAATACCGAATTCAAACCCAAGTTACCTCCGGATGATACTGCAAGCCAAAAAACCTCATTTCTCTATTTTCAACTGCAGCGACCGCCCCTTGTTGACTCCTAGCCACAACTTCAAATCCATAGGGCAACTTAACAGTCTCGTCACCATGACTCATCCAAACAACCTGCTTATCCCCAACTTTCTTCTTTCCAAAAACACCCAAATTCTTCTCCACTTCAATCTCCATCCTCCCATACTCTTGCCTTTGACCAACATCAACTTGACCGCCCAATCTTTGCACAATCAATTGCAGCCCATAACACACCCCCAACACAAAGATACCACCTTTTTGAGCCCACTCGACAAACCCAGATGGGAAAGTTGGTGAATTGGCAGAATGGACCGAGTGGGGTCCACCTGAGAGGATAACAACTTTGGGGTTGTGTGAAGTTATGGTTTCTAGTGAAGAAGTGCCTGAGATACAGAGAGAGAAGATGTTCAGGGACCTGATTCTTCGTGTAATTAAATGAGTGTATTGTGAACCGTAGTCGAGGATAAGTACTAGGTCTGATTTCACTGCTTTTGGGTCCATCTTGGTGGCGGCAGAAGCGGCAGCGGCGGAGTCGATGGCGATGATGGTGTCGGCTAAGGTATTTTGAGACAGTGATTTGGGTTTGAAAAAGGGCAGGGGACTAGACGGCATATAGGGTTTATGAAAGTTGGCGGGGTGAGGTGGGGTTTAGCTGTTTACTGGTACATTGGCCGCGGATCAGGGGAAAAAAAATTAAAACACAATTAAAAAATTTAAACATTTATAACGTGTCTCCTAAAAATTAGATTAAAAAAAATCTAGATATTAATAACATATATTAAAAAAATGATATATTGAATGATATTTTTTTATTATTAAAATAAAAATTTAATAAATTAAGTAAAAACCACATTAATAATCCTGAAAAAAATAAAATAAAAAATTTAATTTTTAATTAAAGGATAAAAGTTATACAAAATAACACTTAATTAATAAAAAAAAAAACTTAAGTGAATTTGAATCAACAAAATAACTAGTTATACAAGTCAAGTATATCCTTAACTTTCATTTAATTACATAATAATAAAGTACATAAAAAAAATTTTATGAAATATTTTTTAAAAGGAAAAAATTATTGGACATGCATGAGTAAGATAATATTAGTAGATCATTGATAAAAAAAAAAGGTGAAATTGTCTCTTTTTTTATTATTTTTGAGCTAAATAAAAAAATTAATCATTAATAACAAAGGGTTAGATTATATATTTTTTAAATTAAGAGACAAAAAGTATTAAAAAAAACAAATAATAACTTAAATATTACAAATAAACCCACTAAACCTATTTAACTCGAACATAAAACAATAAAATTTAAGGAAAAAAGAAGGAACTTAGGTATATTAGGCTAAAAACATCAACCTACCTATGCTTTTGAGCCTAGTTTTTTTTTTTTGTTTAATTTTTTATTGAGGTGGATGATAGGTTGTTCATTTTTTTATATATATATATAAATACTATAGTAGATGACAAGTCGTTGGTTTTGTGCAGAATTCAACGACCTAATTGGTAGAAAAAAGCAAATAGTCATTTTTGTTGTTGTTTTGAAGTTATTTTTTACTCAAAACACCTTGATAAACATGTTAATAACCTAAAAAACAAAAAAAAAAGCTTAAAAAATCAAAATCTACTTGAATCCATAAACATTCATATGGTTAGATCTGCCTCCTCAAGTAAGGAGAAGAAGAAGAAACTATCTAGGTAAAACTCTTCTCATTAAATGAAATATATTGACACCAATTTCAACCATTTTCATGACTAGAATCGTTGTTAACTATCACTGTGAAACCTAGACTTTTGATTTAAACCTAAGCCTAAATCAGCCTAAACTCAATCTAAGTTAATCCAGGTATTTAAAGAAGAGTTGAAAGAGAATGTATTTCCTCTCTTTTAATTCTTATAGCAGTCGTAACCCTTCTCTCCTCAAACCAAAGATTTTAGTTTTTGATTTTGAGTTTTTAATTCAAGAAAGGTAGAAGTAAGTGGTTTTCTTTCACTTTCGATTATAGTTTGTTTATAGAATGATTAAAGAATAGATTAAGGTTTACAAGGATTTGAAGTTTATATTATTAAAATTAATTTATAATTATTAAGGGTTTAATAGTAAGTAATTAATTAGTATGTTGTTAAAAATAAAGATTTATGAGTTGATTTGTTTAAATTAATTTTTATAGGTTAAGAAATTTATTTCAACCTTACTGAAAAATCTGGACATAATGATCTTGATAGAATGATCTTGAGGTTGAAGATGATCAAATTTTATTTTGGTCTTTGATTTATGGAATTTCAGTTTAGTCCCTAAACTTTGAAAAAATTACAATTTGACCCCTAAAATGTATTTTGAGATTTTGGATAGTATTATTATGGTGTCAAGGATGATGAATTTCAGTATGATAATTAATTTTGAATATTTTCAGTTTGATCTCTCAATTTAGGAATTTACATTTTAGTCCTTAAATTTAATAAAGATTATAGTCTGGTCCCTGGTTTGTTCTAGACAGAATCGAAGATGATTTATGGGTGAAATTTAAGTATGTATTTACAATTTGATCTAGTTTTGATAAAATTATGTTTTGGTCCCTGTTTTGGATGATTATCGTTTTAGTCCTTAAACCTAGAAGACTAAACATGGTTTTCTTTTATGCATTGAAATATTTTATTTGTTTTGCTTTTAAGTATATTTCGTATATTTATTGTAGGTTCTCCTAACGATCTTCAATAGATTTTTCGGATCTTTCTTGTGATATTTTTTTTAATTCTATATTTTTCGAGTGAGTGAAATAATCTTTAATATGCATATAATACAAATAAACATGTATGTTGATTATATGATGAGTACGATTAGTTAATCTCTTAAATATTTATATATGTTACTTTATGTTTTGAATACTTATCTATTCATGAATTTGCACTGGCATTTTATTGAATTGAATTCTATATGATATACATTACCTTGATGATACTTTGAATATCTATTATGCCTTGATATATGATTTTTGTCAATAATTCTATGTTAACGGAGACTAGCTAGCCTATGTACACATAATATTCTGTATATCTAGCTGATGAAAGAGATATCAACATGTGACAACTGATCATCCCCACAGTGGTCATCTTTGGGTGTTATCTGGTCACCTTCAGGTGTCATCTGATCTCTGATATGCATTCCACTACATTATGATAATATGTTTAGTATGTATATGTATATATATGTCAAGATAAATCATTTGCAAACTATTAATATCTAAAATGTATATTAAATATTATTCCCTCATTGAGTTGGATGAACTCACCCTTTATTTTTGATATTATTTCAAGTTTTTAATTTCTATTAGCATGTGGGCTTGTTGAGTGTTCCTGCTTCTTTAATTTTGATCAGTATACCTTGCTTGTTTAGCGAGACTTTCCTTTTAGTTCTAATTCGATATTTTAGACACTCTATTATTATCATATTTTAATTAAGTTTGAATTTTTAATAATGTAATGACTATTATGAATTATTATTTTTGTTTTAATTACTGATGAGAAATTTTGAATTATCATTTGGTTTCATTAGTTTTGAATAATATAATATTTCTAAAGATTATGAAATACTACGTAGTTTTAAATAACTTGTTTTTTTGATATATCTGTTCTGAGGCTTAAAAATAATATAATATTTCTTTTTTTTTTGTCAAAATTAGGCAACCCTCTCTCTTTCTCCTTTTACAAAATTAAATGACTAAAAAAAAATGAGGGAAATGAACTTTGGTATCAAAATATTTATAAAAAACTAAAAAGATCGATTTCTTTAAACTAGAAATTTTAAGGGACTAAAATAAATTTTTTGTATAAAATCTGAAGACACAACCTAGTTTAACTGTATTTTTCACTTTGATCCTATCTTTCAATTTAATCATTGCTTAAAAAACATGTAGTTGAATGTTAATTTGAGTTTAAAAGAATTCAATTGTGCATAAAAAAAATTCAAAAATCAAATTAAAAATCAAGAAAAAATCATTATTCTAATCCGATTTGTAAAAGAGTAAAAAATGATTTCAGCTATAGTAAAAACACTACAAGCTTTGGTTTTTATTAATTTGTATCCATTTTTTGAAGTGGATTATTTTGTTTAACTTGTCATTTGATCAGCTTGGTTCGGGTTTGGAGCATTATACTGTATGAGGCTTACCCTTTCTAGTTTTTTTTTTTTTTTTTCACATGATATTTCAATGCAAGTTTGACTAGCAATTGAAATCAGAGAAAGTTATGGAGGATTTCCTTGCATCTTTTTTTATTTGATATTGATATAATTATTAATTTACAATAGAAATGCATTATAATTTTACAATATACTTTTGGATCATATAATATTATTTTTCCAATTCAAATATAAAATTACTTTAATCCAAAACTGTAAAACTATTCATTTAAAAAGGCAAAGGAATTCAAAAACCATGAACTGTTTATTTGTGATGAGGTCGTGAAAAATTCCAGACATGATTGTGCTTTTAACGGGCTGCGTCTTTGGATAGTGGAGTGATTTGGGCATTGTTCATGAGCTTTCCTACAAAATAAATACCTTAATATGTGATCCTCTTAGACTTAATTTAATAAATACAGAAAGAATGCAGCATCTGAAGATAGGTTACGTAAGGAAAGAGTTTTTATAAATGCCTTATTATAATATGTTTTCGTTAAATATTATTTTGTTGTTGATTTCAGTTTCGTACATAAAATCAATCTAAATATTGTATTTGCTTAGTTTGGGGTATCTAAGTTTTATTTCATTATTATTTTTTATTTTTATAATATATTTTGTATCTTTGTATCATTTTTATTTCACATAAATTCATTTTTATATTTTTGTATTCATAATTTTTGTATAGATAATTTTTAATTTTTATTGCTTTTTAAGTTTATAAATTATTTTGGATTGCGTTACTAAGTTATTAATTTTTAATTTGTTGTGAATTAATTTCTTAAAGAATTGGAATTTTGAGATTGAGAGATAAAAGTAAAAGAATAATCATATTTTTTTGGAAAGCCAAAAATTTAAGTGAAACATGAAAAGAATAATATCTATAGAATATAAACACAAGAGAGAGTTTGTAAAGATGTATTTTGTTGTTTTTTAAATGATTTTCAAATCTTAATATTATTAACTAAAAATAAATCATCATCAGTCAAAGAATAAAATTAATCCGGAATGTGATTATTTGGCTATGTAACAATAATTAGAGATGGTGAATATAAAGTTTGGAGAAGTCATGAATAAGATGAATAAATGAAGAATCAAAATAGCTAGCCTTCGAGATAAGCTAGTCCATAGGATCAAAACTGCTGAAGACAAACATAATCCTGAGAATTCAAGATGTTTATTGTAATTTGAAAGCTTCATTTATGTACATTAGTCCTGTTAGTACTGACTGGTTTATGGTTATCTTGTTATCTTCTTCTTCATTTGACAAGTAAGAATTATGTTCTGATTGTTGGTGGAAGAGAAAACCACCAATTCACTTTGGTAAAGTTGCCAATTTTTGTCATTGTGATAGCTGGGGCAAGGATGAGTTTCTTGAAGAAATGCAAGTATTTGTTCTCCTGACCAACTTCGTACTTTTTGTGAAGTTATTGGTTGTGGTGGCGAGAGAGACAGAGGCAAGAGACCAATAATGACAAAAAATTGCAACAGATAAAAGTGATGTGACAATTCTGACATCTAACAATCCAAGGGGTGAAGATCCATGTATGCGTGTTGAACTGCACTGCGTAGCTGAAATGCCTTGTTTGAAAAAGTTACAGCTAGCTCATTTCATCTTTATCAGTGGACATCTTGGATGACATGTTGGCTGGTGTAGGATGGTCAATGCATGGGTATTTGAAACATGGGGAGAATGATTACTACCCTCCTTTTTCAATGGCCATCATCTGTTTTTGCATGATATTAGGTGAGTAGCTTTGCGTTGTGCTGCTGCCATGGGTGAAGAAGGCGATGTGGTTTGTGCACATTTTGCTGCTCCTGCTTTCGAAGATTATAGACAGATGGTTCAATATTTTCAAGGAAAACTGAATTGTTCCCTTGAAATTATTCCGAGTGTCATTTTATGTATATTTTGTCTCTTGAATACTCTAAACTGCAGGTGGTTGCTGGTAAAGGCCATGAAACATATCAGATTGAAGGTGACAAAAAAGATTTCTTTGACGACTGGGAAGAGTGCAGGGAAGCGTAGCAGCACGTTGACGAGCTTCACCAAGCTGGGATAGACACAAGTGAATTCCCATGGAGGTAATTTAATTCATTGTTATCAAAATAGTAATCAAAATGCAGCCCGGTCTTGATTGTTCTCATATTATCAAGGATCAATTGTGAAATTTGTCTAACCTGTTTATAGTGAGCTCATACTTTGTTGGATTACTAGGACATGCAAGTACCATGGTAATGCGTACAGAAATTTGGTTTTATGGTTCATCTTCTTCCTCTCATGCCTATGTTGGGGTTTTCATTTGGGAATCTGATTCAAACTTTCATCTTCTAAAATCTTTTCTGATTCAGTACTTGTCATCAGATGGATTATTTCAAAGAACTAGGATCTCAAACTCTCAAATCGATCGTGACATGTACAGAGTAACAACGAAAACAGAATACAAAGATAGTTTCTCTGTCTCATGTTTATTGATCATCACATGCGATGGATCCAGAACTTAATGCGTACAAAAAGAAATGAACCTTTTGCATACATCTCACGCTCTTTTTTTCGTGCCTCTGCTGCGGCAGGTTACCAGGAAGCCATTGATTTAGTGTCAGAGAGGAATTGGTCGACACTGAACCTATCCAATGCAACGAAGAGAACAATAGTTTTGGGTCTTCTCTTGTATAAAAATAGAATCTATTCAATTCCCAATGGTAGTTATCAAAAGGAAGAGAATTCTTCGTGCCTTGAAAGATCTCCACGGTGCAATCCTCGATGAAAGCTTCAGAAAGGGTATGTTAACCGGTAAGATCGGCACTTGCAATCCCTTCAATGAGTTTGTAAAAGCTATTTTTTTGCCCCGATGGTTTTTTCAGGTCTTTGTGCAGTCTAAAGTCTGGTGTAAACATATTGGGTAGGAAAATGAAAATTCTGATCCTGTGAAGTACCAGAGGTACACATTTGCAAGCATATTGCAGAACTGCATGGACATGGACTACTGACTGTATGCCAAGTGTGAGGAATCCTTCGATGTTCTTTTCAGTATACCAAATTGGTTTTTGTGCTTCAATGGTCCGTTTCAAGATTGTCAAAATCGCAAGTTAACTATTTTACCAGTCAATTTGTATTTAGCATGCAAAATTGGTCGGACTTAACTTGGTAAACTCGGTAAAATCATGCAAACTCTTGATTTTGCTCTGATTGCAAGGATGTCCCTCGTGTTGAAGTAGATCAATTCATGGGGATCACTGAAATAGTAAATCCCAATTTCTATCTTGCTTCTTTATGGTCTTTGAACTTTGATACCATGGATGATGGATGCACATCTGAGATCAAGTTGGAACTCACATAACTTGCAGCGGAAGGAAAAGTTGTTACTTGAATCTCTGCATTCAGAGCAGATGAAATGCTCGTAACTGTCTTTAAAATCAAGGCTGAGTGGGTGATTGAGCAAGTGAAGAGGAAGCACCAACTCAGTGGGCGATTCAAAAGCATGATATATGTAGCCAAAAATCGCAACCTGATTGACAGGCACAAGCCGAGCCATGAATGATTTGAGGGCATCCTTTGCAAACAGGGTCCTCGATCTCCTCTTCACTTGGACGTGTCAGCACTGCAATCTTCTTGAGCTTCTCCTCGCTCTTCACATAAAAACTAAAGTCGTGCCAATGGCTAATATGACTCTTCATCTCAATGGATGGTTTTTGCAGTCGTCTATACAGAGTAGAAAGAAATAAGTGTAGTCTTCAAGATGAAATCACCTACCTTATCCTTCAAGGAAATGAGTAGTGCAAACATTTAAATAAATAAATAAAAAATCAAGCTCCAATTAAAAAAAAAAAATGACTTGGTGTTGGTGTTGTAATGTGCAATAAATTGAATTACAATGATGATGATTGGACAACTAAAAAGGAAAATCATGGTTTATCAAACTTTTATTTGCTTGATATTATTTATAAAGTAATAAAAAGATCAAATTTTTATTTACTTGATGTTTTGATAGTGCGAAAGTTCATCAATTGCATTACAAAGTTATTTATTATTTAGTTGAAATTATATATAATTAGTTAAGAAGTTTTGCTTATACCTTTATAATTTTACAATTTAATTTTATGTGAATATTTTTTTGCAACCTTCGTCCGTTTGCTCTCCTGTTGAAGCAGAATGAAAAGCGAGGAGCTACTAGATTCAATGGTAGACCCATCGTATTTGCTCGAGAGAAACAATGAGGCCCTTCTTGGCTATCCCCAGGCATTTCATTTCATTTCACTTCACGTCAGTACAATGAAGCCCTTTAATAAGTTTATTTATCATCAATAATACAGTGCTGTCAGAAAACTAGCAAATGCTTAAGTTGTACCTTTGCTTAACAATCAGAATCTATGCCCGAAGGTTGATGAGGGTACAGTGCATGTGATGTGTCTTCCCACCATGATGATCCTGACAGAACAAGGCCTTGCACTTTTCGACTGTCTTTAATAATTTGATCGTTGTTAATCTTTGATGTCTTCATTTACAACTTTTTAACAACGAGATAGTGTGTAGATGGTCCTGCCACGTTGCAATTTGATAAGGTTTGAGTTATGGTTAACAACCAGTGACTTTTTTCTTCTTCTTTTTCTTATGGTGAACTATTTGCTAAAGCAGCATCAAGGAATATAATTAGTACTCATCAATCATCATTGTCTCAGAACATTGATTACACTAAGTGTGCCCTGTATGGAAATCCAAATGATTTCATTTTGCTAATAGGGTTTGATAATCTGTTGTTCAAGCAAGGCAAAGTCAAGAGGAAAAGAAGGGGAAAGAAAGGTCTTACCCTCAGATTCCTGAACTGATCAACCTGCTTACAAATCTTAAAACTAGACCCAGAGCTGGAAATTCCAAGTTTAATTTGCCGAGGTATCCCTGTGGATAAAAAAGAAATTTGATTTTCATCACCGTCCTTATCATTTATCATCCCCCCCACCCACCTCTTTTTAATAAAAAAAATGTGACTTGCCGATGCAGGATAACTTCAACTCTACAGTCTACACAGCTTTAGGTGTATCCCATGTATCCCAAGTCAAAATGATGGGATAATTTTGCTTTTTTCTCTGCAGTAAACACGAGGTTTCTTTCCTTTCTTCCATATCTCTTACGGTTTCCAGTAGCATTGATGTAAAGTTAATGCTTTGGTGCAAATGCGTTTGGTGATTCTCTGTTTTTGATACTAATCCTTTGAATTCTATTTATACACTGAAACTGTATTTTCAAACTAGACCTCTTGTCTGTTCCATCTTGAAGAAAAGGAAAGGAGAAGCACATTAGAGCTACATTGCTCAGAAGCCATGTTTGATTCAACATGCCATCCAAAGAACACCATTTCTAAATTTGCCCACAAAAAAACATTTATGACATGATTGCACCAATAGTAAAAACAATAAATGGGTTGTTCTAGAATTGCCAGATTATCTAAATATTGAATGCATACATAAAACCCCTTAATCCTTACAGCTGTAACTTGAACACGAGACAAAAGTCCTTTGCGCATGGAAGTTAAAAGACTTGAAGTCAGGAAGCCAGTTTACATGGAAAGACAATTTCTCTCAACAAGAAAGGCAGGTGTTCGGTGAAAATAGATAAGAATTATTAGTGGGCTTATCTCAATTCCAGTGACAAAATCTTTAAACTGCTAAAGAACATTCTTTTTGGAGTTACAAAAAAATAAAATAAAATAAAATAAAATAAAAATAAATAAAAGCACTGAGTAAGCTTTTATGTCTATCTCCCACAAAGACCAGACAGTATTAACAAAAAAAGGTTAATTGCCACCCATAACTCTTTCTGCCACTTCCTACCCAGCTCACAGACTCACTTCCATAAACAGCAAACACACTCACACAGCACAGATGGAAACAAAACATATCTTTTCTTGCCTTTTAAAGGGAGAGAGTGGAGATATAAACCCGCGGTGAAAACAGCTCTTCTAAAAGAAATGGGACTTAGAGGTAGATGTTTGATATAGAGAGAGAAGCATCTTCTTGACTTCTTACATGGTGAGTTGATGTCCATCTTTCAAAAGCTCAGAACTTTGTGCTTTGGTGTTGCTATTCTGATCTTCTCTTCATTTGTTGATGTTCCCTTTTCACTTGTTATGATAATTTTCGGTTTTTTTATTCGTATACAATTTCATGAAAGAGATAATGATTGAATCCAGTTTTCTTTCCTGTGGATTTTATGTACATTATATTTGGATTTCGGAATTGCTTGAGGCCCTTTTTTGAATTGTTCTGGTTTCTGGGTTTATGAGATCAACATACAAGATAGTAGTTATCCTATGAGTTGATTAGTGTCTGTTCACAAGTTTTTTGTTGCCATTCTATTCTTTTCTTTTAAAACTGTTTGAAGCATCATTTTGCAGTTTTTTTATGGATATTATAAAGTAGCAGTTTGGTATGCTAGTTCGTGCCTTGTTTGACTTTATTGCCTCATTGAAAGGTATATAAGGTTCGGAAATTGGATTGCTTTTCTGCTGGTTTACATCTCATTCCTTAGTGAGGGGAGGGTTTTGAAACTTTAAGTACTTATTTTTTTAAGATCAAGATGGTGCTCTTTCTCTTATATGCGGGTTTGTATTGCTGTAGATATTCAGCCTGATAGTTGGTTTTTACCTCTTCATAGAATCACCTGTTGCATAATTTCACAAGTACAGAAAATCCATGAAGTCAGTGAATTCATTAAAATTGGTTATTGATTATTCTTTTTTATGAAATTAAAATGATGAAAGACGACAAATATTTCATATTTAGAACACCATGTTTGATAGAATCGTTTTCAATTTGAACTATTCTCCATGAAATCAGGTTCCTGCTTAATGAGTTGCTGTCGAAGTTTGGTAGTCTGATTACCTACCAGCTTATTCACTTCAGAAGATCATGGAATGTTGATATGTGGGAAGGAATCGGCGCTGTGATTCCCCAGGAGATGGAAAAAATAACATCGACAATTCAGCATCTTCAATTTATGTGATGATCCTGAGTTAGTGAGTTCATGATGTCCGCCAACCCTAAAATGGCAGAGCAACTGAAACTGCATCAACGCTGGGAGTTTCGGAGGAAAGACAATGATTCCGATTCTTCAAGCAATGATTCAAAACCAAGTGGCGAGCCAGCTCTCAAAACATACAAACTGATCTCCAGCTTCATTTCAGTTGACAATGAGGAAACTAGCGAGGCTAGTAAGCTGCACCAGAATGGGAGTACTTCGGACCAAACATCCTGGAAATCTGGGAAAGCAGAAAATGGCCGGAGGAGGAGGAAGAGTAAAAGGGATGATTCAGCTCCGAACGAGATAAAGAAGGGCCCTCGTAAAGGAGTCCGCCGTAAGAAGAGTAAAACTATTACTGATGAGCAGGCTGTATTTCATGATCTTAAGAAATACATGAACTTCTTATTGGAGGATCTTAAAGTTTCAAGAGAAAATTTGTTGAAGTGGATGAGGGAAGAAATGCAGAAATTGGTGGCAGAGGAGACAGTTTCTGAGCTGGAAACAAGAGAACGCAGCTTCAGAGGAGAGAAAGTTCAATTGCAGAACCAAACCAACTTTGAGGAGAATGCGGAAGTTCAGCACCGAAACATCTTCGAGAAGAACATACCGGCACAACATCAAAACAACATTCAGGGGTATGGCCAACTGCAGGCCCATAAAGAGTTTGAGGAGAACGTCCACGGGCAGAACCTAATCAATTTCAAGAACTCTGAAGCGCATCATCAGGAGACCATTTTCCTGCAGAATCAAAATGCCTTCAAATCTTTCAAAGGGGCTCAAGACTGCAATGATGAATCTACAGAGAGGTTTGGTGAAACCAATAAATCAGCTGATTTTAGTAATTGCATTCTATCATTGGACAGTCAAGCTGGTTATAGCCGAGCAAATGTACCCTCATCAAGAATTGAGAAGGACAGAGAAGAAAGAATGGCATTATCTGCCAGGTTGAATTCTAAACCTAATTCTTCGGATCAGAATGTGCAAGTGCAGCAGCTAAATAGCATTGTGTTGGGCATAAGAGCTCAAAGCGACAATAAATCTTCAGAGAGGTCTGCAAAAGGCAGAAAGAATAGCGATTCTAATAGTCACCGTCAAGTACCTGAACATCAATCTGATTGTGCCCAAGTGATTGGATCCTTGACATCAACTAAGAGGGACAAAGGAGAAAGACTGCCATTATCTGTCCAACCAATGTTTCCAGCTAACTCCAACCAGGTAGCTTCGTCAATGTACTTAACACTGCCTACTGTGTTAACAAAGCCTCACGTAGCAAACCATAGGTTTGATACATCTTCATTGAACTCTATTCAACCAAGACTTGCTGGGAATCAAATAGGCTTGAGTTCAGAAAGACCGAATCTGTTACTAGGTTCAAGCAGTCATCATGGATACTTTCAGGACATGCAGCCAGAGGAAAGAAGTAGAAACTTTGCTCAAGTGAGTTCCAGAGACATCAGTTATTTCAACCAAAATAGCACGTCACCAATTGTTGGAAATGGACTCCCAGATCCACTTCTTCAGGCCGTAAATAGTAATTTTAATATTCCAGCCCATGTCAGCTTGGAAAATCTAGCTCGAGAAAGCAGCATGCCAAGCCTAAGCATGAGTGGAGGAGCCACGAGGCTCCCAGGGGGAAGCCACTCTTTCTCAGAACAGTTTATAGCCAGCAACTTTCTCAACCATTCTAGTTACAAAGTAGATGGTAGACTAATGGCATATCAAGATGGTTATCTATTCCAAAAATAGTTTTTCATTCGAGGCGAATAATGAGCAGGAACGAAAATTGTATTAAACTATGGGCCCGAGATCCTCCTAAACATCTCTTTATTGTTTTTGCCTAGCTTCAATGTTTAACAGTTGTAAGAGAGAGCAATTTTGATACTTTCAAGGATCCTTCACCTGGCAATATACTAGGAAAGTGGCGTTTGGAGTGGGTACACGTCTTGATAGATACTGTAATTTAACATTGGCAAGTGAGATAAGGGATGCTCTTTCAATTAGCTTGGGTATCTGCTTTTCCCATGATGGGTTATCTGAAGTTTCAATGCCTCAAGTGCACTCACTATGCAAGAAAATGAAAGATTTGAGATTGATTGATTCCTTCATTTTTACCTCTCAAAAAAGGCTGCAGGGATGTCAGAGAAGTGATTTCTTCATAGTCAACAGGAATATTTATCTCCTTTTCATTTGGATTTGATCGATTGGTGTCAATTTTGTTCAGCAATAAACTACAACTTTTTTTTTTTTATGCTGTTGAATGTAGAGGGAATAAGTGCAGGATGGCGTGCGTTTCTTTTGAAGCTTGAAAATCTGCAAATTCTTTATTCTCCTCCACTAAGCAAAATCTACAGTTATCTGACAAGATGGACCATATATTTTGATGTTCTGCCTTTACTTTGGTTCAGTAAGCAGTAAGTTTAACGTCAATGTTGCTAATCACCTAAGGTCGCCAAATGAATCGGTTCAAGTTCGAAGATTCAAGATTAATTAGTAATTGCTCTTTTTTAAGTTCATCCAGACGGTCGTAAACTTTATATATAGATTTGATTAATATAAAATCAAATTTATATTACACATCAGAAAAGTGAGAAAAGTCATATTCAATTTCAAACTGTTAATTCCAGTGGCCTCAGAAATTATTTTATGTGGTAATGAAAAATGCACGTGAATTTAGTTATATTTCATGATTGATCAATAAGTGAAGATATTGGATAAACCATCGTGGTCGAGTGGTCGGTAAATTTCCCAATCTTTCACATCCTACCGGCCACCGCACCAAGTATTCCCTTTCCTCTGCGGGGCCACCGTGCCTCTCAATTATTTTTTCAATCGTTGGCCTGAGTGGTAGAGAGAGGTAGAATCATTTTTGAAAAAGTAAAATGGACTCTCGTGAATCCAAGAACTGACGTGATTTGCACGACCAGTTTCTAGAACTGGAACATTACACGTGTCACTGTTATTTGCAAACCATGCTTTTTTTCCGTCATTGGGTTAATTTCTACCGTTTCCTAGGTTTTTATCTTGAGGACCGAGGTTGTAGCCAGAGAGGATCATTGTCAATGGCACATGCTTGGTCGAACAACTAACAGCACACAGTGTCTGATTTCAGCGCTCTATGTCGACATCTTTCGTGACAAGGTTAATCAGGAGTGGGATCTTTTGCTGCTTGCCCGCTTGTGTTCTTCTATATCTTAAAAAAAACCCTCATTAGACCATCGTATACAAAATTTGATGACTACTTGTGATAATCATGAAAAATTCTATGTATTTGGGCTGGAAATGACAAAAAAAAACAAGTCTTTATTTATTTATCAGAATACAGGACCCTCCATTGTTTAAGCTTGTAAATATAGAAAATATATAGAAAAGAGAAAGAGAATAAAAAAAGTAGGGCATGCGATTGTTGAATGAACTATTATGAAGCTTTTGAATGAACCTAAACTTGAATTACTTAAATGTTTACTCAATGACGTGATGTATTTATAAACTTTGTTTATGTTAATTTACCTCATTTAGCGTGGAGAATGATGCCATGAGTACCTTGTAGTGAGTTGTTGTTTATTTTACTATTAATGAAGAGGTTATTTTTCGTTATTAGTTGTGATGCTTTATAATACCATTGATGGAAGGATTGATGGTTAATCATTCTCTTTAAGGCAATATATGGACATGAAATAACTATTATAAAGAAAGAAGGTGTATATGCTCTTTATATTGGTTGTGGGCACTAGTGGGTGGTATGAAATATCGTTTTACATCTTGGAATTGAAAAATACATCGAGGTGCATGTGTGACTAGGATACTGAGTCAAGGCTTAAAAGTATCACATATACGGGGCTTGGTAAAGGTGAGTTAAGGGAGAGGCTTCTTAGACTTGTCATGAATGTCTACAAAAGATATGAACAACTAAGATTAATTTTTTGCAGAGCAATTATTTGCCCCTGAGTCTTTTATTCATTCATGTTTGAAAGAGTTAATTAGTAAAAGTAAGGGGAAAAAAACACTTATTATCTTATACATGTCATGTTACTTGTCGTGGTTTTTATTAATGGAATTGTAAGAGGTGAGTTTAATTAATTTACTTATTATTTTTAGAAAAAATAACATTATTACTTAGAAAATAGAAAATACTTTGCAATAATAAAAGCAATGTTAAAGCATTATGTAAGGAGACATTGCACGGGGATATGAAGATTTTCATTGGAGATACAGAGATCTCATCATAAATATTTTATTGGAGAAATGGAGATTTCAATAGAGATACAAAGATATCATTGTAAAGATTTTATCAAAGATATAAGGACTTATTTAGAGACATGGAGAATTTATTTAAAGAAATATAGATTTTATTGGAGACATGAGAAAATATCCCTACTTTTAATGGAAAAAAAAGGTGTTCTTATTTGTTCACGCTTGATTATTCTATTCAAATGTGGTTTTTCATCGCCTATTTCACATTAAGAAGATTTCAACCAGAAAAAATATACATTAATTCTCATAAAGATTAGTTTAAACCTCACTAATAAGGATTTCAATCTCAATGCGTTCGAGTAGATTTTCTATGTTAAGTATTTTTTTATTGGACCTTTTGAAAATATACTTTAGTGCTCTTATATTTTTGTTGTGCAATGAAAAAGAGCTTAATAATGTTTTCTTTAGCTAGCATATTTGTATTGAAGTGGGAGGTGACTTTAGCGCTAAGATCATAAAAGTTAAAGACGATCTATGCTTTAGATTATGGTATCGCACTTTAGTAGTAGATCAATATAATATTATTAGGAGGGACTTTATATACAACATTATTATCTTGTGTTGCAATGCTTCAAACATTTTATATATACTCTCTTGTGTCTGTAAGTTTATCGTAATTGTTTAAGTTAGTCCTGGTAAAAATATAATATTTAGTTTTATACTATTAACGAGGTTGTAATATTTCAAACACCAATTATTACTTATCATATATAAAGACATTGTCCTTTTCTTAATCATTTAACTTATTGAAAAAGGAGAGAAAATTAATAAAATTCAAGAAAAAAAGAAAGGAAGATGGGTGAAAGGGATGCATGTAAAAAGAGTTTGAGTCATCTCTTTTTTATTATTTCAATTAACAAGAAAAAAGAAAGATGGATTAAGAGAGATTATAAGAAATGTAGAATGAGGGATACAAGAGGAGAGGTGGTTGTTGTGAATTAAAGAATAAAAAATTGACTTGAGGTGAGTGTCATAAGTTTTAAGAACTTTTATTTGAAATGACATGTTAGAAAATAATATAAAACTATTTATGAGACCTTATTCGACATTTTAAACTTTTAGATTAAACTAGTTTTTTAACATAATAGATTGAGTTTAAATAATATTTTTATGCTAATGCATATTTTTATCTATATTTAAATAGGTATACAAACTCAGAGGGTCAAGTCAATAAATAGATAATAAATACCTAAAAAATTTAGGTTATATATATATAAAAAAAGAGCAATTGATGATCTAAAAATGAAAAAGAGAACTGCTAATGGTTCAATATTAAAAACAATGTAATATTTTAGTTGAAGTTAAATAAAGTTTATATTTAAACTTTGTTAAAGTAGATTGAGAATATGATTCTAAAATGCTAGATTCTTATTATTAGTTTATATATACTAAAATCTTTTGATTGGAAGTAAGAAAAGACTCATATTTGAATTTTTTTTAAATTCAAGTGGTTTGTAGTCATGATCAGGCATCCATTATATTTCAGGAAAGCTTTAGGTTGTTTTATTTTTATTTTATAAGCTTTGTTAACTTTGATAATATATAATGAATGTATCTGTTTTGTAAGTGGTGTTTAAAAGTGTGATAATGATTACTTTTTAAAATATTTTTTTGTTAAAAAATATATTTAAAAAATTATTTTTGATATCAATACATCAAAACAATCTAAAAATACAAAAAAATAAATAATAATTTGAAGTAAAGAAAGACATTTTAATTTTTTTTTAAAATATTTTTAAAATACAAAAACAAACAAGATTTAAGAATTTTAAGAAACTTAATGAAAATGTGATTTAAATACTTTGATGTATATAATTATTTCAATAAGCGATTTTTATATTCTTTATAATTAAGAATATTCAAGTTGCAATTGCCGCACATAAAAAATCGATAACTTGATAACTTCAATGTCTCCAATTATTTACCATAGAAGTTCAAGTTTTTCAGCTTACATCTTACCCAATTCCATTCATGCCATTTTTGTTCTTCAAAAGGACACTTCAAGGGTTTTTTTGCACATATATAGTGATCTTAAGTAATTTAATTATAAATTATTTATATGATTTAACAAAAAAAACATGTTATGATTCAAAATTTTAATATATTATTTTTATAAAACATATAGACATCATCTTCAATAACATTTCCATGTATTCTATCATTCAAATTGAACGGATGCCATTTATCATATAATAAATTAAAATATCAGCAACTTAAAAACTAATTATTTTTCTCTCACCTAATTTATGTCATTGAATTCAAAATTAACTATAAGATTAGAAACATATCAATAATATCCCCTTGAAACATATAATGATCCTAATATTTTTTTTGATAAAATGTTTTTGAAGTTTTTCTATATAATAATAAAATAAAATTTTCAGTTGGATGGTTTTAATATATTCATGAAATTCTCTTATTTTCATTTTTTTTTAAGATTTAAATAAAAAATATAAAAAATTAATTTTAAATAAAAATAAGTTTATTTTAGACCGCGTTTGCAAATAGCTCTTTACGTTAATCATTGTTGTTTTTTGTTTTTTCTTAAATAGTGACTGTTCAATGTTTGATCATAATTTTGTCAATGCCCAGTGACAATACCTCACCGGTCACCGCTACTCTTTATTTTATTAAAAAAATTCTTACGTGAACAGAACAGAACAAAACAAGACAAAAGCTTCTGTTTCTCGCCCGCTCCCTCACTCTCCCTTGCTCCAAAGTTTTATTGATGTAGCAGAGAGAAGAGAAGAGAACACCAAGAAGGTTTTTCTTAAAAACAAGCCATGGATTTGCAAAAACTTTGCCTTGTAATCACTGTCACAGCTGTGATTTCACTGGCGTTGTACCCATCTTCAGTTACCGCAGGAGATATAGTTCATGATGATAATTTAGCCCCAAAAAAGCCAGGCTGCGAAAATGACTTCGTTTTGGTAACTTCTAAGTGCTGGTTTTTTTTTACATCTACCCAGTTTTTGTTTTGATGGTTTCTCAACTGGATTTTGAGTGTTTTCTCTGATGGTTTCTTGGATTTTTGAATTTTGTGTGT